GACCTTCTAAAAACATTAAAATGTATGACTGGCAAGTGAAACCTTAAATTAGAGTGAATAAATGAAGACTCAGCACACCACTTCTGAAAGGTTGCTGACCCCTTCATAAACTAGAGAGACTTGACAGCTGCTCTAATCTAGGACAATTACCAGCCTCCAGGGGCACGCAGCTGGGGCATCCCAGTGTAGTTAAGAATGCTATTGCCCTCAGGAAACAATCTTTAACCAATGCACTCAGAGATTAATCAGTAATCAATACTCACATCCACAAAGAAGACTACACCAGGTTGCAGTCCCTGCAGTAACAATCATGAATAAGGGTGACACAGCACACAAAGATTCCTCTCTGCAGGGGGGACTTCTCCAGTAGACACCTAAGCTGGCTTTAGTGCTACACTGCCTCACTGGAGCGGAGCCTGGGCCAGTATCTGGCCCTGTGCATGGAGTCACTTGTGCACATAAGTGACTAGCATCTGCAAGCAAAACACTCCATGTTCACATACAAATAGAGTACAAATGCGATCTCAGAGTATTAAAACACATTAAAGTGACAAAACTTGTTGCCTGCAATACAAATGGAGTCTTCTTTGAAATCTGGTGTGGCAGGCTGTATTCAGCTTTTGTGGCTCCCTCTGTGGGCTCCCATGGTCCTGCTACACCCCACTTTAAGAAGTAGTGAGCAAAGAACAGAACAGAGAAAGGAAGGTGGGTCCTTCAAGCTTGCCTAGAGAAGACTCTTCAGAGCATCCATTTTGAAAGCTAAACACAGTTGTCCCTCAGAGGACAAGGTACCACCAATCAGGGCTTGCTGGCCCATAAAAAAGGTGCTCTCTGGCATTAGCAGTTCAGTTCCAGGCTGGGACCAGCAGAGTGAAGGGTGTTCCTCTCTGGCCAAAGGAGCCTGGCAATCAGACAGAGTTACACCGCTGGGATTGCAGAGAGAAGAACCTGAGGACACTGGCCCCGAGATATCACTAGAGAGAGGGGCCGGTAGGAAGAGGCCCAGGGAAATAGCAGTGAAGGACTGAAGTTGATCAGCACATGGCTGCTGTGCATACAGTCCCTGGGATGGAACCCAGAGTAGTTGACAGGTCCAGGTTCCCCTACCAGCCACAGGTAAAGGGACATAAGACATGTCTCCTTTATTGAGGTTTATCTGGGAGCCCGAACAAAGGACTGAATTTAAAGGGCCCAGAGCCAGGGCTGAAGATTCTAGCGATGGAAAAGAGAGTTCAATAAACAGTCTAACACCCTGGAACAGGTTCACTTGGACTTTTTGACTTGGCTCAAGGGCCAAGACACTTAACTCACCAAAACCACCTGGCAGCCTGCAGGGACACTGTGGTATTGCACCCAGCTGCTCAGAGGTAAGTGTCTCTTTGCAACTATTCTTGGTTTTTTTTTTATATATATATATATATACACATACATACATATATATATATATATACACACACACACACACACACACACACACACGTACATTAGACCCTGGAGAAATTAAAGCCATGTAAAAAACTCCACACCCCAAAAGTCTATCCCTACTAGTGTCTAGAAAACAAAGTGAACTTGGGGTTTGGGGTGGAATGGGCCTGGTGACAGCGCTGTGAGGGGAAACTATCAGACATCAAAGGTCTTTTCTTTAGAGCTTTCCCTGATCCAATGATGGATTCATGAGATTCTAGGGGGCTCCCTCTCTCTTTATTCTGAGAGTCACTTCCTACTGGACCCCTCCCAACTAAATCATTCCTATGCTCATCTTCCACCAAGTGCCTTCCAGTAAACAGACACTAATGTCTCAGCCCTTAAAACACATCTTCAAGAGGCACTGAGCAGACTGATATCTACCTCACTCTCCATGCATCAGAGCTCAAGACAGTATCCTCTACAACATGCCCAAGGTTGGTCACAGAGCTGCATACAGGTGTAAAATGAAATAGTCCATTCAAAATGACAGTGTTATGAGTTTAAAAGACCATGGTTACTCTGACTCTGGACAGTTGAGAGGGAGGGAAGAGGAACTCCATTTTGTCTCCCAACAAGCAACAGGTGTCATGTGTTTTGGAAAAAGCAGCAGCTGCTTTTGAGCAGATAAGTATAGCTGATTTTCCAAAATGCACAGTGATTCATCAGGCACTGATGGGCAGGATCAAGCCTTTTCCTGTCTTAGGTTCTTAGTACTGGATAGATAAACTGAAACATTGTTTTCAGCAAGCCCGTTTTACTGCACTTAACTGCTATGCAATTCTTGGAGCTCATGTTAAGGCAGTTTTCTGATACCATTTAGTTATAGAAGAGAGAATGTCATAATTGTAAGGACTCAGCACAGTGCCATTAGAGCACTTCAACAGTTTTATGCGGATATCTTTCATGTACTTCACAAGGCATGGACTTATAACAATTCCTATAAGCCAACCTGGCTGACAGCAGGCTTCATCACCACATGACACTTATATTTATGGCTCCATGTGATCCAACAGCAATGGGCCAAATCCTTAAGTCCTTACTCACTGAAGTTAATGGAAATTTTAGCTGAGCAAGGACTGTGTCAAAACTGAACATGGATTTAGTCCAATGATTTTAGAAACAGTGACAGTTGGGAACACATTAGTATTCTACAGTCGATAGGCTGCTATTGAAAATGGGCAGGTTACATTGTTTCTCCTTTAAAATTAAGCCTTTGGGCTGATTCTGATCACAACTGTTATTTTAATAACATAATATATTGAGATATACCCATCTCATAGAACTGGAAGGGACCTTGAAAGGTCATTGAGTCCAGCCCCCTGCCTTCACTAGCAGGAGCAAGTACTGATTTTGCCCCAGATTCCTGAGTGGCCCCCTCAAGGATTGAACTCACAACCCTGGGTTTAGTAGGCCAATGCTCAAACCACTGAGCTATCCACTAATGGCATTCTTCTTACCTCTATGGAGCTGTTCCTAATTTACACCAGTGAGATCACAGCCATTTGATTTTTATTAAACATGCATAAACACTTTACCATGTACCATAGAAAAATACAGACAATAATAGATACTTAAGGCCAGATTCTGCCACCCTTTTCCTCACGGAGTGCTATCTTATTGAAAAAAAAAAAAAAAAAAAAAACTAAGACCCGCTGATGTCAAAGGAACCAGATGTGCTGCAAGGTAGTACTGAGCATGAGTAAGTCGCAGAATCTGGCCCTATAGCTTTCTGTTAGTAATATTCTGAACATTATTTTCCTCAATAAAATAAGATAGCAAAAATTCAGGAGCCCTTATTCAAGCAAAGCTCCCATTTGGTGCTAGATTAGCAGTCTAACTATTGTATTCTCTGTTAGGATTCATTAGGAAAAAGGATAGATAAGACAGAAAATATCATATTGCCTCTATATAAATCCATGGTATGGCCGTATCTTGAATACTGCATGCAGATGTGGTAGCCTCATCTCAAAAAAGATATATTGGAATTGGAAAAGGTAAAGAAAAGGGCAACAAAAATGATTAGGGGTATGGAACAGCTTCCATATGAGGAGAAATTAAGACGACTGGGTGGGATACGAGAGAGGTCTATAAAATCATGACTAGCGTGGAGAAAGTAAATAACTCCTTCTCATAACACAAGAACTAGGGGTCACTCAATTAATAGGCAGTAGGTTTAAAAAAAAAGTATGCATTTCTTTACACAATGCACAGTCAGCCTGTGGAACTCTTTGCCAGCGGATATTATGAAGGCCAAGACTCTTTTTAAACCCTGTTATAGAACTAGATAAATTCATGTAGGATAGGTCCATCAATGGCTAATAGCCAGGATGGGCAAGGATGCAAAACCAAGCTCTGAACCATCCCTGGCCTAGTCTGTTTATCAGAAGCTGGGAATGGGCAACAGGGGATGGATCACTTGATGATTACCTGTTCTGTTCATTCCCTCTGGGGCACCTGGCATGGGTCATTGTCAGAAGACAGGACACTGAGCTAGATGGACCACTGACCATACCAGGTCAGACCATTCTTATGATTATATACATTACATAAATACTGTGCATAGATCAGTGGTGTAGCTAGGAATGGAAATTTGGGTGGGCCCCTGACTTTCGGGTGGACAGGCAATGACAGACTGTGCTAACTCAGCTTCTCCAACACCACCCCCTCTCCCTAGTCCTGGCGCCTCCAGACACAGGGCTTCACCTGTCAAGATGGGCACGTGCATGGGGCAGTTCAGAAAATGGCAAGGCAGAGCTGCCGGAGCATAGGTTTCTGAAGGACCTGGCACATAGCTTCATCCTGGATTTCATGTGCCTGAGTGATGCTCCAGGCCACTGTGGCAATGCTACACCTCTGCTCAGATTTGGGTGGGCCAGGATGTTAAGTGGGTGGGCCGCAGCCCATCAAGACCCACCTGTGGCTATGCCCCTGGCATAGATACAGTAGTCTACAATTTGACATGTTTATTCAATGAATACAAGCAATAGTTTCAAATCAAGCTAGTACTGTAAGTAAGAGTCATGTTGTGAGCCAGTATTATCTATCATCTTTTCATGCCAACACTACTGAAATCTGGAACACTTACCCAATTTAAAAAATAAAGTCATGTGTGTCCATGAATCTTCAGGATAATGGAGAAATCAGAAGATATACTGGATGAGAACCATTTAGAATGGTATGCAACTATATACAGTGACAGTATGCCTCTGTAAATATTAAGTTCTATCATTCCTTGGTCAGTATTTACTTTTTTGGCCATTCAAACATGATGCTCATCATAAGAGTCCAATATCTATATTATCTTGTGTCAAGGGAATGCCCCAATAGGAGTGGATGAAAAAGTTACTTTACAGTACATTTTGATTTAACAAAAACACACACACCCCTACACCCATCATACTTTAAGCAATACACAGTCTCACAGCAAAATGTAGGGATTTATATATATGAATATGCAAACATAGGTAGTAATCTTATTTAACAACTAATTCATTGGTCAAGATATGGAAATAAAACTTTAAAAAGATTCTTACGGCTTGAAATGCAGTAAGCCAGTCTGCAATTGATCTTCCTGAAAAGCTGCTTGTTGATTGGCCAGAGGACAAGTGTGAAGAGCTGAATGAAGTTAATTATCAGTCCCGACACTATAAATATGTAGCAGATAAGAAGGTGGCAAATGAACTGAGACTTCAGAAAGCCAATGATGTCCATGGTTCATTAACAACGCAAGGGGAACTTCCAGAAAGAGAAAATCCAGGAATTCAGAAGACAGTCTGCAAAACCAAGCAACAATACCAGCTGTTAGAAAACAGAAAGAAAGTTAAAATAGAAATTAACATTTTAATACAAAGATAACTCACTGCTTTCCTATTCAATTTTTTTTCTATTCATAAGAGAAAGACCTGGTTACAAATACTGACAAAGAGACACTGAGAAAGAGCCACATTTTCAATCAATTTACATCCTTGGTGATAAACACTTGCTCCTATGCCTAAATCCCACTGACTTCAAGAATTAAGTGCTTTGCTGGATAGAAATGGGATTACCCAGGTACTCAATGTCAACCGTGTTCATATGTTTTGCTGAATCAGATCCTTATTGATAAAGTATGAAATAGCTGTACAGAATGGTGTTCAGACAATTACATTCGAAATAAGATATTCCTTGAACTTTACCTTCATGATCAACCCCAAAAGTTGCATTCTTACAGTCTGAGAAATTCAAGAACAAAGAAAAACTGTTTGCTTCATTCTTTTGGGCAGCAGTTTTAATCAAGGCTCACAAGGTGCTTTGAGAAAGGATGCCTGAGCTATCAGCCACTTAGTCCCTGCTGGTAAATGGTACCTCATACATATCTGCATGTGTAACTTATTTTGCTTTTGAAGCCCGGTCTCCCTCCACAAAACACTCGGTTCTGCCAGGTGCCAAGCATTCTGGCTCAGTGCATGAGAGACATTAAGCACATGCTTAAAATTTAAGCAAGTGAGCAGTCCCACTGAAATCAATAAAACTACCCAGGTGTTTACAAAACTGCTTTGCTTGATAGAGCAAGTGAGCTGATCATCTTGCAGGACTGAGTCGTTATTCAGTAATGCAGATAAGCTGAAAAAGTGAACCAGCTCAGAACATTTTGCAGGTCACCTTTAAGCTTACAAAAACTTCAAAAGGGCCATCAAACATCAAATCCATTCTCCATAATTTGAAATTACATATCAGCAGCTTAAAAATAAGTCTTCCTCCTTTTTAGAAAAGGAATTTAAAAAAAAATAGTATGTGGCTTCTCTCCTGCTATTCTAATACAGTGCAATCATCAAGTCTTGGTTTACTTCTTTATGTACTAGCATCCTCAATGGGATCTCAGCAGCAGAGCTCTCAGAATAGCGTTGGTTAGGCAACTGTTGCTACAGAGCCAGCAACAGCACCCCAACAATATAGCCTGTAGATCCCTTATAAAGGAATTATTTTTTGTGACAAAGTGGTGAAATTTTAAAAAATAGTTTATCACCACTAGGCAATTTTAAGATAGAAGTTAAGGGCCAAAAGTTGACCTGACAATGTCCTTTGAATAGAGAAAGCGAGAACTATCCCAGATCCAGTTTATTACTCAAAGTCAGTAGCATTAATACAAAATGTTTTTTCTTTCCCTTCTGTGCTGACATGCTTCCTGGGGAAATAACCCTGCTTGACAGATATCATCAATGAAAGCTCTGAATAGTTAGTTATTTATACCTATAGCAACCCTGGAGATCCTAAAAATAAAAGATGGACTATTAAGACTTCGTGGGCAGAAAATGTGATGGTTGTCTGGTTGGAAGCATCATTTTTTTTTTTAAATAAAAAACAAAAATCTGAATTCAGTCAGCTGGGATCATCATTGTAGCTAACACTATCACATTATCCGGAGCATAATCGCAAAGTTACCAACAAAATGCAAGGTCCTGTGGCACCCTTAAGACTAACAGATGTATTGGAGCATAAGCTTTCATGGGTAAATGCCCTGACGAAGTGGGCATTCACCCACGAAAGCTTATGGTCCAATACATCTGTTAGTCTTAAAGGTGCCACAGGACCCTCTGTTGCTTTTTACAGATCCAGACTAACATGGCTACCCCTCTGATACTTAAGAAAATCCAAGTAAATTTGAATTTTGTATAAGTAACATATGATTTTAACAAAGCATGCTTCCATGGATAAAACACACCTTCCATTATATTTACCCTTTCCATTATTAAAGTAAGCAATTTAGGAGTTTTCTGCCACACTGCAAAAGAAAGTATGTTATCTCACTTTTATGATTGTTAAAAACCTCTCCTCGGGGCGTATTTACTTCATTGCTCACTATATATAAAGATGCCTTTTTTAGTATATTCAAATTAAACCCTCCATCTATCATTTGTATTTTCCTTCCCCATTTGGGCCCAATCCTGGTCCTGCAAGGAAGCAGACCTTCAATTCTAGACACCGTTTTGCTGGACTGTTGTCATTTGAACTCAGTGAGGGAACTACCAACATTTTGGACAGACAATGTGCTTATCACAGCATTCAATATGCACAGCTTGCTCAATTGCTTCATGTTTTCACATTTTTGTCGTTGCGCACAATATACACAGAAAACAGGATAAATATTAGCACTCAGACATGAAGGATCCAATTCAGTACTGTTTACTCAAACAGAACTCCCACTGATGCCAGCAAGAGGTCTGCCCGAATAAGGAATGCATATTTGGGCCCATGCTCACAAGGCAGAACTCGGGTCTTAGTTAGATGTATGAACTACCCCCTCCATTGATTTCAGCAACATATGACCCACCACGTTGCATTGTGCTGGAATGCCAGTGAATCGTTCATTAAAAAAAAAGTCCATCTCATTTATTATAAAAATCAAATGTCACTAACTGGAAAAACTAACACTAATAAAATTTCATACTAGTAGAAAAAGCAAAGAGTTCCTTTAATAGCATGCCCTGTAGCAAGAAGTGCTGCCCTGATATTCTCTTGCAAAACAGCAATTCATATGTCTAGCTGCAATACACTTTATCTGGACATTTTCTCCTTAAGTAAATCTGTTCCTGGATCTTCTATGTCTAAAGAAGTTACATAGTGGGTTCTGGTAATCTCGCAGTATTTTCACTTGGATTGCAAGCTCTTTGAGGCAGGGACTGACTTCGTACAGTACCTAGCACACTGGGGCTTTGATCCCGAGTTAGTGTCCCTAAACACAACTATACTATTTTATTGTTATTGTAGTAAACAATCCAGATCCAAATCAACTTGAACCTGATCAGGCATGAAACATGGGGTATCTGTTTCAGAATACATTGCTTCAGAGTGGTGTCAATCCAATAAAGAAGTGATTTGTCCAGGGTTTAAGGAAGGTGGTTTTTTTGGACCAAGCTGTAGCTAGAAAAGGACAATTAAAACACCAAATCTCATAGTTGCTGGTGATCTACATTAAACTAATGGTGGTATCGATCCCCATCTCAGTGTGCAAGGTATGCCCTTTGTGTAATGAAGATTTGCTTCCTTCTACTTGTTATACTGTGTACTGCCTGAAGACAAGTTAAAGTTGACGCTTCTCCATAGACTGGAAAGTGACAATGTGGCATATGTTTATTGCCGCAGTTGCAGGTTGCAGCCACTATCAATAAGGCTGGAAACCAGTTATTAGTATAACACCCTTATCACATCCCTGTTTTCACACATTTATTATTAAAAATTCACTTTTGAGACTGCAAGCTTATTAGTTTGGTCAATGACCCAAGGGTTTTTTTAAAGTCTGTTTTTATGTTTGATCAGGATTGGATATAGTTACAATTCATGAAACAGCCCCTTGATCTTACAGAGCCTTAAGATAGGACTGTGCTTTTTCCTCAATGTGATTTTAATAAGTTTTGCCAAAAGTAAACAAGTATGTGGAGAAAACCACAGGAACCCTCTCTCCTGATTCAGACCAACTTCCTCAATCCATCAATGGGACTACTCACATGTTTAAAGTTAGACAAACAGATAGCTGACACAATTACAATTGGGTGGGAAAGATATCAATGCATGCTGTACATTGACTGAAACCACAGCAATTAGGCTTATCATAAAATCATTCATTAAAACTGATTAACTGCCTTTTGTATTCGCTAGCCTGTTTAATTCCATGTCACAGAATCCCTCTAATCTAATGCAATTCCCAAAGATCAGTAGGAGTCTGGATCAAAGAACAAATAATATAAAATGAAAACAGAGTCTGGTATAATGGAGATCGGGGAGGGGGCGGGGAGGGAAATCACTGTTTGACATGATTAAAACAAAATCAGGTATTAAGGGTAGCTGATCATAGGAAGGAAGAATATATCATTACTCCACCGATTCAGTCTTTTCACTGTTACAGTAGTTTCCAAAGGAAAAATGTTAAACTTGAACACGTTACATTTATGCTCAACATATTCCATACTGCAGGCCTTTTATGCTAAACTTTGTAAGATTAAAGTAATAACCACTGATAAAACAAAGTGTGTTGCAATAATTCATGAAGACAATGGTGCATTTGCAAGTCACTGTCTGGTTTCATAGCTCAGTCACAAAATTGAAGTTTATAAAGCATTTAATACACTAAGAGGCCAATATCAAGTTTAATAAAAATAGTTAATTTAATTAGGGATGGAACTTTGACATAAGGACAAAATAGAGACACTTGTTCTTGTAAAAATAAAAATAAAAAAGCTTAGGGAATTACAAAGCCGTATTTCAATAGGTTCCCCCCTCTCCTCCCTCCCCGCCCCCATTCAATCCAAGCTAGTGTTTGGATTTAAGAACATTCCCCTGCAGTGTTTGCAGCTCAAACATCACCACGCTGAACAAGTGCATGAAAGAGTGAAAGTAACCATAAATAAAAATACTGACTTAAGGCACTTCCTGTAGCCTGGGAAACCGTATAAATAAACAGGCATAAATAGTGCAGGGTACAATTTTATTTTATCAATCAACAATACAGTTGTCAACACAGTCAAGGACACTGGTTTTTTAAACACTGAGGGGACAATGAAGCCCTGTGACTTAAACCAATGTCACCATATTGTTTTCAATAGTCACCCACAGTTAACCCCAGTGAAATGAGAAGAGGATAAGGCCCATAATTCTTAGAGTGTGATTTATTAAACATACACACTGATTTTCTTACAGCTCATGACAGAAAGCCATAACAACCTTTTGAAAACAAAGGCCCAATCAATACATTCTCAGAAGACATTAAGATAGAAAAAGGGTTTTTTGGCAGCCATCT